AGTAGTTCTATGTACTGTAAAAAAAATTGGGCTCTGAAAAAAATATCTGAAAAATCCCCCTGGTGTGTAGAAGGGGTTATAATGGTATATCTCAATCAGATTTTGTCCAAGTAATATGAAAATTTGGGGATCTACTACATTTCATATGATCTTGACATCCACCAAAAAGAATTGAAATCTATCCAGCCATTGTATCTAAACACAGGCACTTGGTCACTTTTTGTAGCAGGGAGTAATACGAAGTGGATTCTTTGCAATGATTATTGAACCCAGAACCAACTTCAAACTTGTTTTCTCTGTACCATTTTTTGTAGTTATGGGCTTTTCAACAACATTTCTTCTTACAATAGACATATCATCTTTGTTGGGCTCAGTCAGTATGGGACCTTCCTGAACATCCCTCTTGACATCTGTACAAATTAAGAAATAATACCAAGTTGAATATTTATAACTTGAAATACTTGGTTCCTGTGAACCTTCCTCAATACTGAGACAGACCTGAAAGTTGGGCTGAATAATCAATGAATGAGATGATAAAGAAAGGTGATTATGTATGATATATACTCACAAGTGCATTTAGTTTGACCTGGAAATCTGCAATATATTCTTGATCCTTTCTAAAATTGGCAAACCTCTTGCATGGATTCTGTTGTTGGATCTTGATCACTTCTTCTTTCAAATGGTCCAAAATGCTAGTGCACAACTTCAATCAAGGAGGTATCCACAATAAAACCATCAAAACCACACACCATCTCAAATTATCGAAATTGGGTTGCAACGTCAACAAGATTTGACTCTTGTTGTATTGATAGATAGCCTGTACAATTCCCGCCATCTTCTCAATGAGAGTCGCAGAAAAAGCGGCCCAATCTTTCTTATTGATCTTGAATTTCTGACACTGTCGCATAGATAGACATGATGGAATGGTTGAGGTAAGGACACACACCTTAATGATCCCAATGATGGCTAATGCTTCAACGACTGCCACTTTCAGAGGTGGATAGGTGTCGCCAGATGCAGCGACGACCTGGAGTGCAGAAAGCCCGCCTCCGCTGATCAGTTGCAGAATGTCGTTTCCCACAGGATTCAACCCAGTAGTATTCATATTGTTGGTGTCGTTGGTACTGATAGTCGTGTTTGCATTCATGATGATGGTGGTTGATAACAAGAATGTTAGAGCATCAATCAAACATCAATTGCCTTGAAGGTGTTGTAGTCATGTGACCACAACTCAACAAAATATTGTGTATCATGCCTGGTTACGTGACCCGGGTTATGTCACGTGAGCGCTGGCAACCCTCCCTTTTGGCGCACGCCATCACCTCCATCACACAGCTGGTAACCTCTCTCCAGCGATCTGTGTTCGCAGAGTCCTTGATAGCGTAGATAGCATCACACGAATGAATCCGTTTTTTCCGCTCTCTCCCCGTTCCCCTCTGGTCCCTGTCCCCCTCCTCCTCTTTGGGATCAACAGTCTGCTCTTGCCCTCGGGCATCCCTGAACTCCCAACTGGGTTGTTTGGACCTCAGTCCCCCTCTCCGTTCAGTCCCTGTGTCGACCCCCTCATCTGTTCAAGCGAGGTGACCCCGATCGAGGAAACCTCCCATCCCGAATGTGGAAACCACCATTGCGGGTCCCGCTTTTCCCTTGAAAACGGGATCCTCAAATGTGACTTCAACAAGAGCGGATAGCGAGGCCTAGTGTTTAAAAGTCCGGTCTGGTCCGGTTTTTTGATGCCCCTGGGCTTTAACCGTAACCGTAACCGGTCTGCATTTTTCCCAGACGTCAAAAGACCGAACCGGACCGCAAAAAACCGCGGTCTGCAGTCTTTTTGCAGTCTATAGACCGGTCTTGGTCTTCTTCGGTTTTAACTGGTTTAAGACCGGTTTTCTGGCCAATATTTTTAAAATATCAATCGGTAAATTTGTTAATGTGTTTCGTAGCTTTAAAAAGAGCCCAAGAACGTTAAATTCCGTTGAGAATTGGTGTTTTTATAAAAAAAGTCTTGTACATCTACTATTTTTAACGAAATTTTACATTTTTATTTATATCTTTGTCAATTTTCAACCAATTAATACGTGCTTGGGTGCGTTTTGAAGGGTATTTAGTGGGCTACAAAAAACCGGTCCTAACCGGTTACGACCGGTTCATTTAGACCGGTCTTTTTGCGGTCATTAGTTCTCAAAAATTAAAAAACCGAACCACAGGTCCGGTTTTTTGCGGTCTTGGTCCGGTCTGGTTACGGTCTTTTTCCAGTCATGAGACCGGACTTCCAAACACTAGCAAGGCCCCAATCATGGAATTAAAGTGCATCAAAAGGTGTTTCCATGATTGAGGAAACCTGTTTAGATGTACCAAATAGACTACATTTTAAGGATAAAAGGTGAAGTTTTAGAGGCCACAATTTTTGCAACACCCGTTGGGATTTAGATAATGCACGGCTAAAATATAAATGAGGTTCTTTGTACATACTGGCTGCAAAAAAATGCCATTTTTCTGGGAGGGCTCATTGGGAAATACACTGCAGTTCTCAAGCCTCTGCTTTTAAATTTTTATATGCTACTGTGCTTCCAAGACATACTTTGAAGGGGTGATGTAATTAAATTAAAGCAGTTTGAGTGAGGGAGTGAAGAAGCAGGCTCACGCGACGCTTCGATGCATTGTTGCAAAAATATCTACTTATAATGGCTCCGAGAGCCACATGTTCTGTATTTGGCTAAAATTGCTAACGGGACAATGTAAATACATGAGAGCTAAAATGGATCCACGAGTCCCGCGGGGGTTAGGCTTGCTTCGCACAACTAGTTTGTTGCACTCAAGTTTTTTAGACCTTTGAATAATACGACTGTGACACTTGAATAAGAGTCACATGCATGAGGTCTTTACCTTCCCCAGGTTATTCTGTATGGAATCCATGGAGCCAATGTTGGCTGAAGACCCAGCCAGTTTCTTATTCCATAGATATCATGGATTCCATATGGAATGATCATGGAATGGTTATGGAATGATTAATTCCATATGGAATCCAACACCACTCCCTATGGATTCCATTGGATTCCATACACCGCCAAATGATAAAAATGTGTGAGAGACCTGGAAGCCAGGGCCTGATCCCGAGCCTGCGCCACCTGTCAGACATGCTGATGTAACATTTCCCAAGAGTTGAAAAACGACTAATAGCATCATGTCACCAGGTTGATGTTGCCTTGATGTTTTGGTCAAACATCGGGGACAGCTGGGGTGCTAAGGCCAATGGCGGAAATTCAGTGGCCTTCAACTCAGCTGAGCATTTAGACAGCTGGTTGATGTTTTCTGTCATCTCTTACAGCTAAATGCACATCCTTTGTATTCCTCTTTTGAGTGGTAGCTACCACTTTTATGATAAAATACAGGCAAGTGCCTGCACACCGACATCCACACTGCCTAATGAATTTATGAAATGAGAAGAGTAGGCAAAACTTATGAAATGTATTTCATTTCTTTACCAGTGCTTCTCATGACTATTTCATAACTGTCCTGAGACATAATTTCAATACTACTTCATTGCAATTTCATTACTGCCTGGCCTTCCATTTCATTGTCTACCCAGCATTGTTTCATTGCTATTTCATTCTTGCCTGACTTTTAATTTCATTGCCTGCCCAGCCTTATTTCATTGCCTTTTCATATCCTTGCCTGGGCTACTTCATATTCATTTCATATCCCTGCCTGGACAATTTCATATCCCTGCCTGGGCAATTTCATATCCCTGCCTGGGCAGTCTCATATCCCTGCCTGGGCAATTTCATATCCCTGCCTGGGCTACTTCATATTCATTTCATTTCTTGCCTGAGGCAATTTCATATCCCTGCCTGGGTGATTTCATATCCCTGCCTGGGCAATTTCATATCCTTGCCTGGGCAATCTCATATCCCTGCCTGGGCTACTTCATATTCATTTCATTTCTTGCCTTAGGCAATTTCATATCCCTGCCTGGGTAATTTCATATCCTTGCCTGGGCAATCTCATATCCCTGCCTGGGCTACTTCATATTCATTTCATTTCTTGCCTTAGGCAATTTCATATCCCTTCCTGGATAATTTCATATCCCTGCCTGGGCAATTTCATATCTATTTCATTCCCTACCTTGGGCTATTTCATATCCTTGCCTTTGCAATCTCATATCCCTGCCTGGGCTATTTCATATCCTTGCCTTTGCAATCTCATATCCCTGCCTGGGCTATTTCATATCCTTGCCTTTGCAATCTCATATCCCTGCCTGGGCTATTTCATACCTACCCTACTGCATTTATCATTGCCCCCTCAGAATGTCAGGCACTGCCTTCAGGGTCCATCCCAAAGAGGAAACATCACCTGGTTTGACCAAAAGTGAAGAAAACCAAGAGGAGAATGTTTTTACCTATCAGGGTCCATATAATGGGATGTTGGGATGTTGGTCACATGACCAATTACCAAAAATGGTCAAAAAATGAAAGTTGTAGCCCTACACTATAGCTTCCCGAATCTGTTTGAATTATGTTCTGAAGTGCTCCCATTGTGAAGATATGGGGTAAAAGATTTCCAAAAGTGTTGCTTCTTTTTTGTGTTTTTTTTTTTTGCATTTTTCTCCATGAAAACAAAACCAAACAACATGATTTCAGTATATTTGGAAAGCTAAAAAAAATGGGCTACAATTATTGTATCGTGGGAAAAATGACCAAAAAAGGAAGATGCATGCCCTAGAAAAGAAATTGACACTGATAGACTATAATAGTCAGATATAGACTACCATAACTACCAAAAAGTCAGACTTAGACTACAAGGTTTACTGATAGACTACAAAGTTTACTGATACACTACAAAAGTTGGATATAGACTACAAAGTTTACTGATACACTACAAATAAATACAAAAGTCAGACATAGACTACAATGTTTACTGATACACAAAAGACTACAAAAGTCAGACTTAGACTACAAATTTTACTGATAGACTACAAAAGACCATAAAAGTCGGACTTAGACTACACAGTTTACTGATAGACTACAAAGTATACTGATAAACTACAAAAGACTACAAAAGTCGGACTTAGACTACAAGGTTTACTGATAGACTACAAAAGACCACAAAAGTCAAAAACTTGTACTTAGACTACAAAGTTAGTAGTGTCCGCTTTTTGAGACTACAAAAGTTTGTAGTGTGCGCTTTTTCATTAGAAAAGTTTGTAGTGTCCGCTTTTTGGGACTACAAAAGTTTGTAGTTGACATGTAGTCTATGGTGTTCTTGGCTCTGTCCAGATTATGGGGGTGAGGTTGAAGGGTTGACATGATCTTACTTACATATTACTAATGCTGCTGCATTAGTTTTTGACATCATGCACAAGTTGTCTTCACATTAGGAAAGGCTATCCTATGCCTTCATAATGGCACCTACTGTCCTATCTCAAAATATAATTATTATAAGTTCATGTGGAGATATGGCTGAAGGAATACCATGACTTTACATATTGCTATTGCCACATCACCACTTTTTGACATCATGGCCAAGTTGGCTTTCACATCAGGACAGGCTATTCTCTGCTTTCACATTGATAGTTACTGCTCTATCTGCTGTCACATTGATAGCTACTGGCCTGTCCCAAACTTTGATATCAGCTCTTTGAGGGCTATAGAATGATGGGCTGATTCATCCTTGGAGGTGTCCTTAAGTTAGGTCATGTTGTAAGTTGACCATGTATTGAGACAGAACAGTAGATATCAACATGAATGGCCTCCTCTGGCTTGACAGCCATCTTGATCATGATGTGAAAAAGTGATGATGTGGCAATAGCAATATGTAAAGTCATGGTATTCCTTCAGCCATATCTCCACATGAACTTATAATAATTATATTTTGAGATAGGACAGTAGGTGCCATTATGAAGGCATAGGATAGCCTTTCCTAATGTGAAGACAACTTGTGCATGATGTCAAAAACTAATGCAGCAGCATTAGTAATATGTAAGTAAGATCATGTCAACCCTTCAACCTCACCCCCATAATCTGGACAGAGCCAAGAACACCATAGACTACATGTCAACTACAAACTTTTGTAGTCCCAAAAAGCGGACACTACAAACTTTTCTAATGAAAAAGCGCACACTACAAACTTTTGTAGTCTCAAAAAGCG